CAATGAGCTCAATAAGGCAGAGGTCAGCTGTTACTAGTGTCTACCGGCTGATACAGTGCTCTTGAAAGATACCGGTTCCGCGCGATGATTCTTCCGGCTTGAATTTTAAGAAGCTTTCATTTACCACAAACCTAACTCAATTTACATCGGTAACCGTTGTCTGACAGATCCAAGTCTTTGATACTCGAATCATAAGACGAAAAAATAGGAGGAAGAAAAATAAAGGAAAGGATGGAGGAAAAGAAGTGAAAAACGAAGCGAAAGAGACAGAAGAAGGGAGAGAAGTAAGAAAGTCATAGAAAAATGCATTATCATTCTTTCTCTTTTTCACCTTCTTTCTTTCCTTCATTTTCTTATATTTCCTTGTTTCGTTTACTTTCTCCACCTTTTCCTCTCCTGTTTCCTCTTATTTTGTTATTCCCCCTCTTCTTCCTCGCTTTTCTTCTTTCATTTATTTCAAGGTAAAATTTTGCGATTAACACAAAGGTATCACCTGCTTTCACTAAAATTATTTTTCAAGCACTTAGAAAGTTTCAAAATTGAGGCCGCGATGAAAGAGGGTCTTTATACTGTAAAAACTTAAAGACAAAAAAAAGCGGATTTGTATTTTTTTCATGCTCCCAGAAAGCAAGTTCTATTTTTACGAAATTAATTAAATTAACAAACTGAAACCCTGTAAGCATCAAGATCTACAGCAATTATTACGTATGGCATTATTACGTCTTCCTTATATTTGCCACATTGATCAAACATCGGTCAGACTGTCAGACAATAAACCCAATGCCATATATTCAAAGCAACCTACTGACTTTTGGTTTTTTCGGTCTCCTCAAACAAATTAAGTTTACCCAAACCTTTCTCGTTGCAATCTTGCTAGCTTTATGGTTTGCCGTTTACATCATTCCTGACGTTTTCGGCACCAGTTGGTGACCGAATTGAACTCAAAAATGCTTGTCGAAGGGGGAAAAAACTGACAAGTCACCAGCTGAATATTATGATCACCAAATTTGGTATGTTGGTGACCAGTAGTCCGACGATGGCTGATCCAATAAAAAATTGATCTCCCTGTGTTTGTTTCTCTTCTCCCAATCGAGGTGCTCTTTCAAGAAGAACCTCCCTCGTGTAGTACTCGTCGTGCAATAATTGAACCGCGTCAAGCAGAAAAATACCATCCGCTATTGCCATTTAACCAGGCAATTTTATATTTTACATGAAAACCGTTGTGCAAATGTCAATGGAGTTTCTGCATAGTGCGAGGCAGATTCCTTGAAATCTTCAAAGACAACCGCACAAACGCTCTCCTGTAAAAAAATGGAGTAGAAAGGAACCATGCCACATCAGCTATTGCCGAATTTAATCGGGCAGCTTTAATATATGAAATTAATTCTTTAAATGAAAACGGTTGTGCGGATTCATATGAAAATCAAAGTGAATTTCCCGCATAATACGAAGCAAATTCCTTGACATTTTCAAAGGAATCTGCACAAACGTTCTCCTGTAAAAAATTAAAATGCCCTGTTAAATTCGGCAATAGCTCATGTGGCTTAGCTCCTTTCTGCTAAACGCGGTCCAATTTTAACTGATAATTACTGCCGTGCAAAGGAAAACTGTCGTATAAGCCTTCAGTTTCCAAACTTTCTACGACAAATCACAAATTCTCTGGGAAATTCGTGAGTACTTTTCTTCCAAATTTTCAGGGATTTTTTTCATAATTCAATATGAAGCGTTTGGAAATGTCAATGGGAAATACTCATAACTTTTCGCAAAAATAAATATTTTGTGAGGGTAGATTTGGCAACATTTGAATGTTCATGCGGCGTTTTTCCTTAGCAGGACAGAATACGGCCGGCGTACTGCCGAGGTAAGGAAAAACGCCGTACGAACATTCGAGAGTTGCCAAATTTCCCTTGATAAAACATGTATTTTTGACAACATTTATGAGTATTTTTCCTTGAAATTTTCAGATATTTTAGATTACATTGAGTACAAAATTATCTAAAAATTTTGGAGAATAATATTCGCAATTTTCCCAGTAAATTCGGTTTTTATTAGAGGAAACTTGGCAACGTCTAAAGGCTCATACGGCGTTCTTCCTTAGCACGGCAGCGTAGCGCGGTGCGCGGAGCTTACGGTTACGGCAGAGCTCGAAAGCGTGAAGAGGAAACCACAAAAATCAACGGCTTTGCGGGCACGGCAGACGGCAGGAGCGGCGCAGTAGCAACGGCATATCGTCCAATAAAACTTTCTACGGTCTCAAGTCGGAGCTCATTTTCTGGCTCCTGACTCTGATGACACCCGCGTCCCGCGACCAAGTTTACCGTGCACAGGAAAAAAGCCCTATGAGCCTTCAGAAAATGCCATATCTCCTTCAATATAACGCCAATTTGCTGCGAGAATTGCGTATATTTTACTTCAAATTTTCCTGAAAATTCTGTCCGCAATTCAATCAATGATATTTGAAAGTTTGAGGGAAAAATATGCACAACTTTCTTCAGAAATACATATTTTAATCCGAAAAATTTGGCAACTCTCAAATGTTCATACGGTGTTCTCCCTTAGCACGACATAAGTGTTGCCCATTACTTTCGCTCTTGAAGCTAATGCTGTTTTCCTCCGAGCAAATACCTCTTAGTTCCCATTAATTAATCTGCACCATCCCACTTACGCCTTACATTAATTGCTCACTGAGTCACTTGATCGCAAGGACTTCTTTGGAGAACGGAGACAAAAGTACACTGTAAACAACAAAAATGATTACATTCATCCCTCCAGTTCCTTGTCTCCTTAGGTATATGTTCTATTTTGTAAAGCCGCATTACTCTCGTGATTTCAATAGGCACAGATCTTTGATTAGCCATCGAATAACAAAATTAATAACACTTGGAGCTGCTCTCAAATGTACCGCGTTTAGCAGAAAGCAACCAAGCCACATCAGCTATAAACGCAAAGTCCGAGAAATTGAATTTTTTACAAGGTAACTTTTTGCGAAAATTGTTTTTGAAAATTTTAGGAGTTTGCCTCGAACAAGGCAGAAAATTCACTGAAATTTGCACAAAAATCCGCACAACCGGCCGTTTTCATGTAAAAAATTGAATCGCTCAGGTAAATTTGGCAATGGGCCTGTTGCATGCAAGAGATACAGCCGCGCGAATAGACTTTTTAGAGGTTAAATGACACAAAAATTACGATGGTCACATTAAAAAAGTCTGAAATACACTCCTTACTGCGCAATTTGCGTTGTTAGGAACGCGCTTTTTCAAATTTCCCGCGTCTGGGGGCAGTTCTCTAATCACCGGAAACGAGCAAACGGCGGGCTCGGTGATTTCCGGAAGATGCCGAGTCGTTGTTGTTGTTGTTATTTTTTCCATCAGTTTGTTTACAAACCCAACGTGATCTCCTACAAATAGTGGTCCATATACGCTTTATGCGGTAACCAAATCGATCAACTTTTAAACATCCAACGCAATCCTTCTACATTTCATTTCACGATGTCACGAGCTCCGATTTTTAGGTTATGTTGTCAGTTTTAGTTGACCGGAAATAGCCGCGAGTTGCCGTTAATTGTTTCCGTTAGAAAACTGCCCCCAGACGCGGGAAATTTGAAAAAGCGCGTTCCTATCAACACAAATTGCGCAGTAAGGAGTCTATTTCAGACTTTTTTAATGTGACCATCGTAATTTTCGTGTCATTTAACCTCTAAAAAGTCTATTCGCACGGCTGGATCTCTTGCATGCAACAGGCCCATTACTGATGGCTTTGTTGCTTTCTGAATGACGCGGTCCAAATGAAAGTTTTCCACGGATAAAATTTGGGCCTTGGGGGAGGTCGCCGTATATTTCTGATGAATTAAAAGCATTCTGCTCGTTCGATATCACAGTAATTCTATTCATGTGAGTCACTGGGGCACTCTTGCAAGTGCTTCAAATACCCGAGAGCTCTTTTTTTTTAATGCAGAACCGGTTTCAAGTCCGAGACGCGTTAATGACTCAGTTTACCAGCGATTTAATTTCCATTCCTGCTTGTATTTAATAGAATCTCTATTTGTATATAGTCTCAACGGGAGGAAACCCGCGTTTTAAGCCGTACTAGAACCGCAGAGACAAGATTTCTCCCGTCTCGACAAATTAATCTTAAATCATGTTCGTCTCAAAAACCGATGGGATACTTGGGAATAAGATTAGGAATAAATCCACGTTTGGGGTCTAAATTTGCATTAAGAGGCCACTCAATCGATTTCGAAAACCTCGCCAAGACCTACCATGATGCGTTGCATACAGCAAAAATCTCGAGCATGATCCTGCCCGTGAAATCAACAGCGTTAAACTGCAAACTGGGCTCGGAATTTTTGGGAGGAAGAAGACACAAAGTATCATTCCAACTTCAATCTCTCTGATTACATACGCACAGATATACGCGGCCTGCTATGGCCAATTCAGGGTTGCGAAGAAACGGATTTTGGGTGGAAGTTTAGAAATACCGTTTCTAGCCAACATTGGCTTTGTGGAACTTACCACAAAAATTATATGCTTCGTAGAGCAATACGCAAAGTAAAATGATACTTACGAAACCTCTTTACGACTAAAAATTTACGAGAATTAAGTGATGCAAACTCGAAAGAATTATACTTTAATAAAAAAGAAAGAAACAAAAAAAATTAGGTGCGGTATGTATTCTTAATTTGCATATTTTTAGTTTTTTTTTCCTTTTCCTTCTTTAATCAATGTATATTAAACAATGTACCCTTTCAATCTGCCTATTGCATGGAACAGTTATGGTATCCGCGCGAATAAATGAAAAAGGAAATCTTAAACTACTAGGATAGGTTTCCTCGCGCTTGACTCTGATCAAAATAGAATGATTAATTATTTTTTAGAATTAATTAATAGAATTAATAAAAAAAAAGTCTTGCCTTTACACGCTTGTGGTTTTATTTTTTGTTCAGTGTAGGTATGTACTTTTTGTATGTGTACGTTAATCCAAATGATTATTTTTTGTCGCAGGCTCTGCTGCTGGTTATAGCAGTACAAACGCACAGTCAGCAGTTCAACACTTACGATCCCTCGGAGGGAAGCCCGAGACCTTTACCTCCCTCCATCCCTGGAGCTTTCCCTGTTCCTGGCGATCGCCCTCGGCCATCTTTTAGGTAAGTTTTTTATGCAAGAGCAAGAGATTGCCCTCTTATTTCAACAATACCTTAACTAGAGTCACCTTTCTTCGGATCCGAATGACAACTTTGAAAAATACAAAATATTAAAAATTGAAAAAAATACATAACAATTATATATATCACACCTCGAGATGCTGACATCAAAGTCGACTAATAGATCTAAATATCGTCTTCGGGACGAAGAAATAATGCTTAGGGGAAAAATCCCTACCATAAATGGCGACCAGGAAGAAATATTTAGATGAAAATTGAACATCATTTGTGCCAGGTTTTTTTCTCGGATATTGTAGGTCGGTTGATGTCGGCGACTAGGGAGTTAAATGGAAAATGAATCCTTGGGGAGGCCGAGGGACTTCGAGGCCATGAAAGTTCAATTCCCAGGTACCATTTATATTTCAATTCTGCCGTCCCAAATATTATTCGACCTAAAATAACGGGGAAAAGCATGACATGAGTGGTCTCGGACATGTTAAAAAAACTTTGCAACGCTGTATCATGGCTGATTGCGAGAGCGTGGTGCCAACAGCAATCTTAATCCCCGAGTGACATCAATTGAAGATATTCTACCCATGAAATAATAAAGATCAATTAAAATTGTTTTTAACCACAGAACTTCAAAATATTAGCGTTTTTTAATTCAATTTATCTAAACGACTTTCAACTAGAAGAAGACAAAGCGATGCTTCTTGTGCTATCATCTCAGTCTACGTGAGTAATGCATTCAGTGATGTTGATACTATCACGTTGATACGACTATTCGCACTCTATAGACACGCGTGTTGCACATGACAAAATGGAAGGCGCTTCAGTCACTCTACTCCTTGAAGCAATGTACGCAGCAACATGTGGCACGCCGTTAAGAATGAGTGAAAAAATTAAATTCTCTGATAAAATTTAAGGCAAGATGACAGGGAAGGATACGTTTGCACCATTTTTAAACATCAGGATATTACATCTCACCGCCACACCGAGTTGTGACAGCGTGCGGCTGCGGGCACTGCTTCGTGGACTAGACTGACCGAAGCGCCTTCAATTTTTAGTATGCAACACGGATGTCCATTGAGCACGAATAGTTGTATCAAGGCGTTATTACCGAAATCATTGCTATGTCCTACGCTCGGATATCACTGAGCGTTAATGGAAAAAGCCGTATGAACAGTCCAACGTTGTCAAATTTCCTTGAATTAAATATGAATTTCCTGGAAAACTAGAGAGCTCTTATTTTTTTACATTTTAAGAGAATTTTCTGGACAATTTAACCGAATGATTTTTTAAATATTCAAAGAGCACAAATCTAATTTCCTGATATTTTATGGAAAAATAGGATTTTAGGAGCAAATATGGCAATAATTTTATCTAAATCTGCTCAATTAGCATAGAAAATGTTCGGCATTCATAATTCTTGATTCTTAGATTCAGTACAAATGCTGTTTTCATAAAGGTTGTTTTTATGAAAATTTACCTTTTCTAAATATGCACATCATACATCCATTAATTAATCGATTATTTGGTCACTATCGGTTCGATTCAATTAATCGATTATCCCCGTCTCTCCTAGCTTCCATCCAGACTGATCTTTAATGAAAGACTTTAACGCAAGGTTAAGAAAGTAAACACTGGCACCAGGTTTGTAAGGATATACGGAGGCTGAGAAAAAGTCTTGACAAATCAATTAAGTTTGATTCGATTCGATTAGTAATCAATTACTAAATTTTTGATTGTCCAAAACTTCGATTAATCGATTCATCAACTGGACTCTCGCCAATGCGATCCTGGCGGCTCGCGCCCGATTTATAACGAGGTTGCAAATTTTCAATCTAAATATCTAGTCAACGTAACCCAAAGATAAACGAACCATTTGGACCGCGTTAACCAGAAAGGAACCATGCTACATCAGCTATTACCAAATTTAATTGAGCAATTTCATTTTTTACATGAAAACGGTTGTGCGGATTTATGTGAAAATTACAGTGAATTTTCCGCATAATACGAAGCAAATTCCTTGAAATTTTCAAAGGAATCCGCAAAAACGCGCTCTTGTAAACAATTAAATTGCCCGGTTAAAGCTGGCAGTAGCTGATGCGACTTGGTTCCTTTCTGCTAAACGCGGTCCATTCAACACATTAACCACACGTTTAGGTTACTTTGTATTCTACTTCCCATAGCAGCATCGTTGGATCCAGCAAACGGAGATGTTGCATGTGTGAAGGATTTGCGATTTGACCATTGATTCATACGTAAAAGTTCGCGAGAAACACGATGGTGCCACTGGTTTTCTCTGAAATCAACTCCCAAGCTCAAAAAAAGCTCTCAAGTTGAGGTCAAAATAGAGGGGATATCCCACCCTACCCTGAGAGTCCACCTCTACATCAAAACAAACTCTCCATTGAAAGATAGGGAGCAAATACATTAGCAGAGTTGCCGTGTTTTCAGTTTTGGAGTCCCCAAATAAAGTGTCAACCCTGCTAATGTATTTGCTCTCTATCCTCGCATGGAGAGTTTGTTTTGGTGTAGAGGTGGACTCTCAGGGTAGGGTGGGATATCCCCTCCATTTTGGCCTCACTTTGAGAGCTTTTTTGAGCTTGAGAGATGATTTCAGAGGAAACCAGTGGCACCATCGTGTTTCTCGCGAACTTTTACAAAAGAATCAATGGTTAAATCGCAAATCCCTCACACATGCAACATCTCCATTGGCAACATTGTCTTTCCTCTATTTAAACCTATGGAAATGTATCGATTCTTGGAGAGGCGAGGTGCTCCAACAAGAATCGATTATTTAGCATAGGTTTAAATGGAGGAAATCCGGTGTTGCCAAATTGCTGCCTCTGCATATCGGGTTAATTTTTCTTACTGTGCAGGCCCCAGAGTCGACGGATCCAGGCTCCGGAGGACCAAGCCCCTCAGGCACAGTCTCAACAGGCTCCGCCCCCGGGGCGCCCCAAGTTCCTGCGACGCCCCTTCCAGGCGCGTGCCGGGCGGATCTCGCCGTTGGACGCCGAGTCGGAGCAGAAGTCGGGGGCGCCGGTCCCGTTCGCGCCGTCGCCGTTCCCGCCGCAGGGGCGCCCCCTCCCGGACGGCCCCTTCGCCCCCCAGCGCCCCGTCGTGGAGGAGGAAGACGAGCCTGAGGCGCAGGACCCGACTCTCCCGGCCGTCACGGTGACGCAGCGACAGCCGCTCTTCCGCCCCCCGCCCCAACAACCCGCCCTCCCCGTCTTCCGCCAGCCTGCCAGCGTCGGCTTCGCCCCCACACCCTTCATCATCCAGGAGGAGGGCGATTCCTTCGTCCCCGCCAAACAGGTCAGTCTATAAATATCTCCATAAGGTGCGTTGTTAAGTTACTTTTACTGCCCAACAAAAATGGCCGAATCTCAGGAGGATTGACGTCATCTCAACGACGACGTCAGCTCAACAGACGGGAGAAAATCGAGGTGTCGTTGTTAAATTCCCCTCGGATTCTGCGGATTTGGAGGTTAAGTTTTATTGAAATTTAAGATTTTTAACATTTAAAAATCTTATTAACACCCACATTTTTACGAAATTGACGCGGTACAACGAACCGCGCAATTGCAAGTACAAAGCAATTGCAAGTCAGTCTGGTGACGAACATGTGGGGAGGAAGTGCGAAAAAATGGCGTGTCGATCCTCTGATAAAATGTTTATTTTTGAGGAAAGTTATGGATATTTTCTCTTCAACTTTAAAGATAATTTAAATCTGATCGCACATCACATTCTCTGAAAAATTCTGAGAAGAATATTCACAGATTTTCCTGGAAATTCATATATTATCAAATAGAGATTTGGCAAACGTCAGAAGGTGCTGTATGATACATTGCGCAGCTATCTTAAGCTATAACTGCGTTGTTTGTTAAACCCTACAAAATTACGAGCGAATTTGGCTATGGTTGATCACCCAATTTATTCAGATAGCCCATACGTCATTCTGACGTCAGCGTAAATGTAAACAATAACAAATCGAAAGCCCAGCGAGCGGCTAAAAATCGAAAACCTCAATGAATCTACAGGCAAATATTGGACAATCTTGGTAATCGGGTTATTCCATCAAAGTTTAACAACATTTATTTTGTCCCTCCACGATTTTACCAAACCCTCTGGAGGGGCGCTCAGAGGGGATCTGAGCCCGCGTACCCGCGTAACAGATGCGTCATAAGGAGGGAAAATATGTTCAGGACTGCGTTACCCAACGCTATACTTGGCACGTAGCGTCGATTTTTTTAAAACCTCAGATGAAATCGACGAGAGGTGGCAACTTTCCATCTGAAATTTATCACAAACCCTATTTTGAGAGGGGGGTGGGTGTCGAAAAAAGCATCTCGTACTTTTTTAAGGGGATGCAAACATGCGTTACGGATGTGGTACAAGAAGGAGGGGGAATTTTAACAAAAATCCAATTTTCAGCGTTGCGCATTTTATGAACGGCAGCTTACAGCGTCTCTCGTTGTTAATTTACAGCGGTGTATTTATTCGATGCATCGATGACAGCTGCAGCATGCTGCGACTTTGATTTTCAGTCAATACTTGCCGTCACCCAACTCAGATAATCCGACTTGAAAAAGACGCGTTTAAAGTATAGCGGAATTCGATGAGCATAAAATCGGTCGTCTCCTTGCTCGGTTCGGAAATATCAAGGCAGACGGGCGTCGGGCGTCGCGTTGCGAGCGTCCTCCGGTAGACTGCGAGTGGGACGCCCGTTGTCCCCGTCGCACAGTGGGTCTGGAGGTCAGATATGGTGTGAAAAATTTGAAAAGCATATATCTCCGTTAGTACAAAAACGGAGAGGTTTAAAAGTATCTCCATCGGTTCCTTCGTGAAATTTCCTTTCAGAAATACCCCTTAAAACCTAAAGTGCGGCGAATTGAACATAAAAATGTCCACTATTTGTCAAAGATTTTAAGTCCGATAAACTCTTTCCCCTGTGCGTTGCCCGTCTCCAAAGTCGATTCGTCCAAAGCCCAAGCCCCGGGGCCGAGGGCAGCCTTTTTCGCTCTTGCTCGCTCATCCCAAGGTCGTCGTTTAAATTATTTGTACTCAACCGACCAGGAAAGACTTCGGCGAGCAGATCCGGAGCGCCGGCGGATTTGCACGTCGTTGCAAAATTATGCAAGCTTCAATTTTAGATTCTCTGCTTGCCTTTAGGTTAAACGAAAGGAGGCGCCTGCATTTTGACGTTCTTCGCCCATTAATTCAGTTCCTTAAACCCGCAACAGCATGGCCTTTTCGCTGCCGCACATCGGATCGAGTAAATGGGGGAGGTCGGACAAACTTTGGAAACTTTAAAAGCTTATAACTCCGTTTATACAAAACTTTCATACTTTAAAAGTGGTTCCATTGGTTTTCTCGTGAAATTTTCTTTCAGACACACCCCTGAAAGTTTAAAATGTGACAAATCAAACATCAAAATTCGCAGTTTTAGTCAAAAATTCCATGTCCTATCTCTCTGATTGACTCGATCCACTGGTTGCCGGATGAACGCAACATCTTGGAAGGGAGGGGGGGGGGGGGTGACGATTACCAATCAATTAACCATTAATAAGGGTCAGGTTTTATGAATTTAATGAAAAGAGTTCTAATTAGCTTAACCTAAATGAATCGAGACTTCCCGAACCGTTAATAGCATATGAAACGAGAAGGATACTTTTCTACCCGTGCGTTTGAGTCTCTGAAGAGGCGCGGTAGGAGAAGCGGTGAAAGGAAAGCGCGGCCGGCTGTATCGTCGAGAGCGGAAAATTCATGTTGCTTCTTGATAAGTTCTGCTTGTCTCAAACCATTTCTGGATCATTTCTCTGACTTCGTGAAATGCGTAATGCCGAAAATTCGACTCACCCCCCCCCCCCCCCTCTCGGAATAGGGACATTGTTTGACTGGAATAGACATTGTTGACTGGATTGTTTTTTGACATTGGTCCTCGTTGAGGGACAGGTTTCGAGCTCCGATATTGTGGTACGAGCGAACTCATTTTAAGATACCAAAATTGGTAAAACACACCCCTCCCCCCCCAAAAAAAAAACCCCCTCATTACGGCTAACCTTTCCTGACTTGGCCATAAAAATAAAGAGGTACAAGGTATAGGTATACAAATAATTATTCACGCCCGAATTATTTTAAAGAGTCATTTAAGTGATTTTCTATAATACATGCGGAAACTGTCACAGTTCTCGCTCTACATACATATTTCTTCTGTGCATATTCCGTCTCCACGCTCTTCGTCTAGTAACTTTTTTCCATTTTCAAAACTAAAGATGTGTGTCTACAGGCATAACGCTCTCTAATAGGTCAGTTGCGCTAATTACAGAATCGTATGTTTTGATACTTAATTCTTGTGGATCAGCGAGAAATAATAAAATCTGTCCTAACGGCAACTTTCTATACCTAATATTAGCCGAAATATCGCGCTTTAAAAAAATCGGGTTGACATCATCCACCACGGTAGTGACACCCTTTGATTTCTTCCACCTTACTTTCATCCAAGTTTCAGGTTGAGTATCTAGTGCAAAAGTGTGTTTTCCTGACTGATGAAACCAAATTGGAAGGAGCCAAGTGTGCCATTACCGCGTTGGATGGCGTCATAAACCGAATTATTCAAAGCGCGATGTCTCGGCTAATATTGAACGTAGAAAGTTACTGTTTGGACACGTCTTTTTATTTTTAGCTGATATACAAGAATCAAGCATCAAAAGATTATTCTATGACCAGCGCATCTGACCCATTCTAAGGGGCTAAGGAATAACGCCGTATGAGCCTCCAGGCGTTGCCAAATTTCCTTCAAGAGATCACGCATTTGCGCGAAAATTTATAAAAAATTTTCCTCCGATTTTTCGGAAATATTGCTCGTAATTTGGTCTAAAGTGTCTGAAAATTTCAACGGAAAATATTCTTAAGTTTCTTCAAAAATAAATATTTTCCGAGAGGCCATTTCTGCCGTGCTAAGGAAAATCGCCGTATGAACCTTCAGGCGTTGCCAAAGTTCCTCTGATAAAACGCAAATTTCCTGGTAAACCCATGAATATTTTCCTCCCAGTTTTTCAGGTAATTTCGTTCGTAATTTCACCTAAAGTTCCTGAAAATCTCAAGGCAAAATATTCATAAGTTTCCTCAAAAAAAAAACATTTTATCGAAGGAAAGTTGGCGACTCTCGGATGTTCATACGGTGTTTTTCCTTAGCACGGCAGCAGTACAGTAGGTAAGTATAGAGACTTATTTGAATCAGTGAGAACGAAAACACACCGACTCGGAAAAATGAAAAGAATCAAGACACACACGAAACCGAACAGTAAATGAAGAGATTAGTCTAAGAAAGAGATTTTTGGTGCCAAAATGCAAGCACTTAAGGGCATTTTAAAGGTCCAAGTTGGAACAGATGCGCTAACTTCACTGACTTCAGTGACTTCAATGACAAACTCACTGATTCATTTGTTTTCCCTATATGTTGATGCAGTTCAAGCCGGCTGCACCTCCAGTGAGCCTAAACGAGGGAGGCCAGCAGGGTCCGCAGAGGAAGGCGCAGTTCCGGCCGCAGGGTCCGAACGCGGGTGTCCGACAGCAGACTTCGAAAGCCCCGCAGTACGAGAAGCCGGCGCGCCCGCTCCAGCCGACCGCCACCGCCGAGAGGAACGACATTGACAGGGCTGGCTACAGAGAGAAAAAACCAGTCGCCCAGGTAAAGAACTTTCCACGCCTTACTCCTTAATTGCACCGGCTCCCCAGTCAATATCCTCGCACATGTACGCTGGCTCTTTCGTCTTTGCATACCTCATTTTCACTGCATATGCGCTGCGAGAAATAATTCTGGAAAATCATCAGTGCAGTCGCAATGGAGATGTTGCATGTGTGAGGAATTTGCGATTTGATTATTCTATTGATTCTTTGTATAAAAGTTCGTGAGAGACACGATGGTGCCACTGGTTTTCTCTGAAATCAACTCCCAGGCTCAAAAAAAGCTCTCAAGTTGAGACCAAAATGGAAGGGATATCCCACGCTATCCTGAGAGTCCACCTCTACATCAAGACAAACTCCATGCGAAGATAGGGAGCAAATACATTAGCAGGGTTGCCGTGTTTTCAGTTTTAGAGCCCTCAAATAAAGTGGCAGCCCTGTCAGTGTATTTGCTCCCTACCTTTGCATGGAGAGTTTGTCTTGATGTAGAGGTGGACTCTCAGGATAGCGTGGGATATCCCCTCCATTTTGGCCTCAACTTGAGAGCTTTTTCTGAGCTTGGGAGTTAATTTCAGAGAAAACCAGTGGCACCATCGTGTTTCTCGCAAACTTTTACACAAGTATCAATGATCAAATCGCAAATTCCTCAAACATGCCTTTGCGGCATGAAGCGGCAAATACCTTATCTATGTGAATATCTGCGACCGTCCTTGAGATGTTAAAAGTATGTTCATACTTTTTGCGCATCCTGATATGGCACCTTCAAGGATTATCTCAAACAACCGCATTACTCACCGATTTACGGATGTAACTATTCGGCCTCCGAGGCAACGCTAGGAAGTATCTTTTCACAATGAAGGCGTTTCTTATGCGTCGTCACTCGTCACCGAACATCGAAGGGTAAGCTCGAACGACCGCGTTACTCACCAATCTAAGGTTCTGCATTGTTGATTGGGCTTTCAAGTGATGCAACTATTCGGCCTCCGAGGCAACGCTAGGAGGTATCTTTTCACAGTGAAGGCGTTTCTTATGCGTCGTCACTCTTCGTCGCACATCGAAGGATTATCTCAATCAATCGCATTTGTACTCACTAATCTACGGTTCTGCATAATTGATTGGGCTTTCAAATGATACAACTATTCGGCCTCCGAGGCAACGCTAGGAGGTATCTTTTCACAGTGAAGGCGTATCTTATGCGTCGTCACTCTTCACCGAACATCGAAGGTTTAGCTGAAACAAGAGCATTTACTCACTAGTCTACGGTTCTGCATTGTTGATTGGGCTTTCAAATGATACAACTATTCGACCTCCGAGGCAACGCTAGGAGGTATCTTTCCACAGAGAAGGCGTTTCTTATGCGTCGTCACTCTTCACTGAACATCGAAGGTTTAGCTGAAACAAGAGCATTTACTCACTAGTCTACGCTGGTAGGCTGTTGATTGGATTTTCAAAGGATGCAACTATTCTGCCTCCGAGGCAACGCTAGGAGGTATCTTTTCACAGTGAAGGCGTTTCTTATGCGTCGTCACTCGTCACCGAACATCGAAGGGTTATACCTCAAACATTCGCATTTACTCACTAATCTACGTTTGTACGCTGCATGTTGATTGGATTTTCAAATGATACATATCGACGGTGTAAGTCGGCAATCACGTACTTCGGTTTGCGACGTCGTCGCTGACTTCCAGTCATACTTTAATTTCAAATGAAAAACTACTTAACGGCAATTCTTGAAAATTGCCTTGATTTTTCCTCTCAGTTCCAAGAGAATTCTACGAAAACTTCAAGGAGTTATGTCGATTTGTTCTCCTTTAAAAAATAAAATAGGGGCGGAGAGTTTCAAACACTGCAAACGGGATACGTGTTTGCGGACTTGCACCGTCGATATATTCGACCTTGGTCACGCGCCGTTTCCGAATAGGTATGCCTCTCCTTCTTTTCGAAGAGGAACGCGAGACGCCACGCCGTCTAAAAGCGCGTTCGAGTACCAAATAGTACTCGAGGCAACTAACTTGAGGCTGTAACTATACATACATACATACATACATAAAACCGCTTTTATAGCGCAGCCTCGCGCTCTGCGACGCCCAATCGCCATTGCCCCCTATCCTCGCAGAGATCATCAGGCAATTGGCACCTTCTGATCTCCGCCTCCACCCCTTGTCGCCAACCTTTCACAGGACGTCCACGCCGTCGCCTTCCGAGAGGAACCCAATCGAAGACCTGCTTGGGCAACCGATCGTCTGTCATTCTTCGCACATGTCCATACCAGACCAACTGCTTGGACCTGATATCGTGCACGATGTCTTTCTCCACACCCATTATCTCGCGTACCCTTTCATTGCGGATACGCTCTCTTTTCGATATCCCAGCAGACCTTCGCCATAAGTCCATCTCAGTTGCCCTAAGCATGTCTTCAGTTCTTTTCTTGAGTTGCCAGACCTCACCCCCGTAAGTTACAATACTCTTCACGATGACGTGGTAAATTTTTCGTTTGGTCTCCTTGGAGATACCTACTCTGGTCCCAGAGAACCCCATTTAGCATCGCGATAGCTTTCCTGCCTTGCACATTCCGATCTTTAATGGCCCGATCCAAATTGCCGCCCTTAGTTAACCAAACTCCTAAGTAGATATTTATACTCTTCACAGTCCTGAATTTTCCGACCATCCTCCAGTTCAATGCTTTGCTGATCATCACCGATAACCAACCCACATAGCACAGAATATTGATATAATACTACAATAGTACTGACACGTCAGTAGTGTCAGTATTTATAAAATGCTGATGTATCCTGATTTAATATTATATCAAGACTATGCCAGTATTTATTAGTTACTGATTTGGAGCTGTCAAAATATTGTTACAGTATTGGCCGAAAAGGTTGATTTCATATGGAAATCAGGGTTATGACAAGGTCATCAGAACACTGCAGGACACCGACAATATGTATGCGTTACTACCTTAACAATGACACGTCTGTACACTCAGCGCACTCTGTCAAGTAGATATGAAAGTTCAGACGATGACCGTCATTTTCATAGTACTACACATGTATTACATTTGAAACATGAATTACGCAAGTATACAAGTATTGAATATTATAAACCACTTACTTGATGTCCTGCGACGTTTAGTAGCGTAAAATACCCGGACGCCCTCAGGTGGATTTGAACCCGAACCGCGGAATTCCTAGCCCAGTATTCTGCCATTGAGCCACAAGGAGCTGATGGTGTTCCGGGTTAAAATCACGCCTGTTAAGGCTGTTATAGCATGCATAGCATCAGTGCGCGGCTCGACTTTCATCATAACTTTGATTAACACCGTGTTTTCTTAGGCTTCTTTTTCTTAAAATTCCTATATTTTTTTTTCATTTTTTCGTGTTAATTTCTTTTCGTGTTATTTTTTTTTATACCTCGTCAGCATTGACTCAATACTGTTGTTTGATATATTGAAGGTATCAGTGTTATATTCATGCTGACGCGGTATACCTTTTAACCGACAATCTTAATATCATACTGCATTAGTGTTGATGATATCATGTTAACATCCAACAATATGTATCAGTATTGACATAAGATTCTGTGCTATGTGGGAACTTCTCCGTCTTTACCACATTAACTTCCATCCCCCACTTACGGTATACTTCCACTAACTTGCGCGTCATGTAATTCGCATCTTCTTCGTCCTGAGCTATTACCACCTGATCATCAGCAAAGCAAAGAGTGTAGGGGGGGGCCATCTTCTCGTAGCGGGACGCCCATTCCTGAACAACATCCAACATCTTAAGGGTAACTTTATAAATTTCTAAATTTCTTTTCTTTTCTTTCCTTTTTCAGATCCTGAAACGATACAGAGAGGACAACCCGGACGGCTCGATCACGTGGGGTTTCGAAAACGACGACGGCTCCTTTAAAGAGGAGACGATCGGGATCGACTGCGTGACGCGCGGGAAATACGGGTACATCGACCCGGACGGGAACAGGCGGGAGTACTCCTACACCTCGGGCATCCCGTGCAACCGCAACAAGGAGCAGGACGAGGAGGCCTCCGACACCAACGGCTACATCGACTACACCAACAACCGATACGTCATGCCCAACGGCGACAGCATCGACCTCAGCAGCATGGTCAAGAACCGCGCCAGGAAGCCCGTCAAGAACCACCAATACTCATAGTGAGCGTGAAACAGGGTCCTCTCCCACTAGCGTCAGCCACCACCTTAAAACAAAATGACACTCTTCGACGGTGTAAGTCGGCAATCACATAACTCGTTTGCGGTGTCTGAAAATTTCCGCCTCTATGTTATTTTTTTGAAGGAGAACAAATTGACATCATTCCTTGAAGATTATGCAGAATTTTCTTCGCTCAGAGAAGAAAAACTACGGCAGTTTTACAGAATTGCTGTTGAGTAGTTTTCCGTTTAAAAAATAATGTATGATTGGAAGTCTGCGACGTCGCAAACCGAGTTATGTGATTGCAGACTTACACCGTCGTCTTGTCCATGCTCTAGCATTGATTTTAATGGCGGCCGAGGGGATCAAGGTGTTCTTGAGAGGGAACCGAGCGATACCGGATGTTGCCAATTTACTGGGACAGTTTAATTTTTTATGACCGATTCTCTGGAAAATTTCGTTGAGGAAGCTAGGGCAAATACCTAGGTACCTGCAATTTTCAACAGAATCGGCACAACCGTTCTCTTAAAAACGAATAAATTGCCCACAGATGGCATTAGCTGATGTCACTTGATACTCTTTCAAGAAGTACTGCTCAAAAGATATCTGGGAGAAAAAATTCGTTAAATTAACCATGCTACTGTTTGATTTTTGAAGTGAGGATACAGTATGGTAACTCTCACTTTAACTATTACATGGAAGGAGGTGTAAAATACTGAACATCCTATGTGTCAAAAAAGTGTAAACGAGATCTTGAGTTGATCACTCTCAGAGTGTGGAATTGATTCTAGCGATTTACTAAACCCTAGGTACCTTACTACACACAGCGACTCTCTTTAGTTTCTTTAACCTTTATGTGAGTACCACTTAAGGCAATAGGCAAGAGTTGCATGATGGATCATATAAGGCTATATATCAACTTCGAAATTGGTGACCCAACACAGAATGTTTGATAGGCCCTGCTTTACCTAGGCGCTGCTGAACCTATTCTGAACTACACAACCTCCTGAAAGCTGATTTTATTCCATACATATACAGGCCCTTGTAAAAATGGCTAATTTGCAGTATTGCCTCTCATGGTGAATAATGCTAAAAGATTTTCTGCCGTAAGTTTTTTTCATGGGAGGGTGGAATCTACTCAAAAAATAAGCTTCAGTTTAAAAAAAATTTCATGCAGATGGGTTGATTCAGTTAATTGAAGCATTTATTCAGCAAGTCAAGAGCTCTTATACACTTTTCGAACGTCTAGAATGCTAAATCAGCTTTCATGTTTCCTAGTGCATCAGCTAAAAACTATGATCAGTAAAAAATCAAATTATTTTTTTACCTTTACACTGCCGTTATTGACACTTATTGTCAACAGTCAATCTAACATTGCCACAACCGAATTTTTGAAGTCTACCTGCATTGGATAGACCTCTTTTCCAGATAAATGGGCCAAATTCTCTGCTTCAAAAATATAGCACCCACACTTACGAGAGCGCAAAAGCTTTCCTTTTAGTGATAGTTTAAAGAGTATCTTTTTAAACTGTTCCATTTTATCACTTTCTTATGTACGCTGCTTTGACAGTTTGAATGCACCGAACATCTTTATTTGTTCTTGGTGAAATTCAATTACCCCCAAATCAGGGTTGTCTTCATGAAGAGTTTAAAGATTTAATTATTTTTTGTTCCTACATTATCTGATGATAACCATTAAACATTGACTATATTACACTTCTTATTTAAATCAAAGCAGTAAATAGTAATTATTCTTATATGCTTGATTTAATAATTATGATGGCCTCTAGTGACCAAGCGAGCAAGTTGTTTACTTCTTTGACTGGAGTAAATAAAGAGGAGAATAACAGCTCTGAGAAAGTGACAAAGAACTTAGATTTGACTTCCGCTGAAACTAGCAATATCTACAGGATAAATGACTGATTTTTTTACCAGAGCGTTAGACAGACTATTCATACTGAAAAAACAAAAAAATGCTAGTGTTAGATTTAAAACGTTTTAGGATATTATTATAATCTTGTATGCCATACGTTTTTATATCTTCTAACAGATCCCTGGGAATCTTTCAGTCCTCTGAAATTCAAGTAAATTACAGTTGGAAAAGCAAAAATGATGGAAGATTATCAGAGTCAAGGATTATAGTTTAAATTTTATGGGAGGTGAATAGGTCAAAAACACAAAATATACCTGGAAACTTTAATTAAGCCAGATTAAATAAATATGTATACTGTAAGATCTCAGAATTTTTTTTTTAACCTATTAGCAGAGCACAGGGATCAACAGGAAGATCGAAAATGTAGGCAAGCCCTGAGCTTTGTTTAATTTGACGTGGTTAAGATGATTGTACCATCCTTAACATTGTAAAGTCATTAGTTTAAAACAGAAAACAATTCCTTTTTTGTAGAAAATTACTAATAAAAATTAAAAAAATTAAAAAATACGAGTTTTAATTCATCATAGTCTGTTGCCTTGAACTTCAAGAAAAATTGAAAAATTTAATGAACCTATCTCCTCTATGAACGACAGTAAAATTTCACAATGCGTCACCAATATGTGAGCCATTGGATCTATTGCTAATCATTAATAAGTGACTGGAGGATGGTTGAAATTCATATAAAATATGGTAGAGCACATTTTATGGTCTAAAAATTTCAATACTGATCAAGTTTACTTTGATATCAATTACGTAAGAACTGCAGTTAACTGAAGTGTCATTCTTTAATCTTGTCGCTTTGATCATTCATGATCATCCACATTATACCGCTCATTTGCTAAGAAATACCTTCAAGGATACAGCATTGGGAAAATTATGCAGCCTTCACAACACATGGCATGTGTATGATCCTTTATTGTGAGTTGTAAATCTTTTCTACCTCATTTCAGAAGATATCAAATAGATAAACTTACTTTCTCGACAACCCTCATACTTCCTCAACATTTACGAATTTTGCTGACTGGTATAGAATAAAAATTTGCTTAGAGTTACATTGTACCGATATATCAATGGAATTTTTGTCGTTCAGGAGGCTGATAAATATTTTAGCATGGTTTCTTAAGAAAAAACTGCTGAAAATAGAAAGGGAAAGTAGATAAAAGAACGATGATGAATAACTGTTAAAGAGGTAGAGATATGTAAGTTCAAAAATTTCACCAGTAAAAGTGAGCAGTAAAGTTATTTCATTACATTATTATGTAGCATAAGCTATTTTTATTGATTCTTTACAAATCAATCCATGCAATGAAAAATGCCAAACCTGAGGAGGAGAAAATATCAGTCGGAAGATTATTAACGATGGATAAATGTATACTTAAAAAATCAATCTACAAAAATTACAAATTGGGTACATTCAACGAAGAAAATGAAAGAGAAAGAAAAAAATTACTTGATAAAAGAATAATTCATAGGGGATGTAACATGAGTCATTATGCGGGAGTGTATTCATACATACTATCTATAGAGCTAGAGTCTGAGCGTTGATTTGATTGTTGGTGAAAACCTTTTCAAACTTTTTCTTTTCCTCTTTGAAAGCTAGCTTGTTCATCTTCCGTTCTACACGTCTTTCCTGAAATCAGATGTTAAGTTTCTTGGATTAATCATTAAAGGTTGGAAAAAAGATGAATCATTTGTTGGACCATGTAGAAAATTAAAAAATTTATGATGCAAAGAACAGACAAATTAAAAAGCCCTCCACACTGTTTCATGGGAGGGGGCGGCTTTGCCCCCAGACACACTAAGCATGCGTTGTTCGAGTGGTTGGACGGATTTAATTGCTCATATTTGAGGGACTCTCGCATCCACCGCAAATAGCGTATTTTCCAAAAGAAAAGCATAAACTCAGGTTATAAGTGTGTTCCTGACCTAAGAACGGTTAGGTAGTGGCAGCAGTAAGGCGCAGAGCTGGACGGCATACCAATCTCCTTGTGTGCCTTACATACATTACAGAGAGCCAGGTTTCTACCTACGACAGCACTGTGTCCGATTCCTAACACCTCTGTAACGAGATTGGATCTGAAATAATTTTCCAAGGTTTTTTGCAATGCAGCCTTTTAATCCATCATCTGTCATCACAATCATTGTTAAATTGGATTCAAGCTCACCAAAACATTATTTCGAAAAAAGAAGAAAAAAATATATTGTTGGTAATGGAATTTTGATTAGGCTGATATAAATTGTTCCTGAATTGAAACAAGGTTGTTATATCGAAGGTCTCATTATGGCGGTTTCACTGAAAATAATAAATTGTCAATTTTCCAATCATAGTCAGAATGCACAACATTTTAACATGCACTTAATACAAATGAGTTGTATGTACCTTAAAAGAAACATGCCCTACGATAGCATTGGTGTTTTAGGGCTTATTTGAAAAAGGACAATTTCTCTTGAAGAAACAACTTGCTTATAAAGGCACTAAGAACTATTTTTTGCATGAAAAGGACTATAAACCCATTGATGAAACATGACACGTTCTAAGAAAGGGAACCCATTTCTCACCTTGTGAAATGTAACCCAAATCTTCATCTCAGTATACTAAAAATCGACATCGATTGTCTTGACAATACAGACCCATCAGTGCATCAATGAAAGCTTTGATTAAAAAGGATTGGATATTTAAAACAGCCAACAGCAATAGAGATTTCATACCTTCCTGATTTGTTTGACTAGATTTTTCCGATCCTTCCTTTCACTTGATGTTTCTTCTTTTGGTCGAACAGAAAGAGAAAGTCTAGATACAGATGAGAGAACTGAGCGAACATCATCTTTTTCATCATCTCTCTTGTTCATCATATCTAAGTTTGCCTGGGTAAGTTTTTCACTGATAACAGGAATGCCTTTCTTGAATTTTATTTTGTTGACCTGCAAAAATGGAAGGTGAAGAGATTAAACATGAAAACTGGAGCAGACATTTTTCAACAAAACATTTTTTATGTCTTTTTTTGGTCCTTTAAGTCAACTGAAAATAAGAAAAAAGGGGGAAAAAACATTTAAAAAAATAATTCAGTTTTAAAACTTGTTTGCATACTTTGGACGTTCCTGCTGAGTCAATGAATTTTAAGACTAGAATAGCAACTAATGTTTACACCGAAAAGCTTCCTGTATCCCTGGCTAAAACCAAAGTCGAAAGACATAAGCAAATTACCAGGAAAAAAATTGAAAAAGTGACAGTAAGTGCAAACGATTGTAGTTTAAAGTTTCTGGACGGTCCTAGTTTTTATACTCATGGATTGTAAGGGTGACTCCAGGGTTATGGACTTCCTAGATAATGAAAGTTGTTTATTGATAGCTGAATTCTGAGAACAGGTATTTCAAAGAGTTTGCTTTCACAGAATATATACACAAGAGAAAAACAAGTTACAATTTATTGCTTTATGAAATCACCTCTATCAATTTTTCTTCTAAAAAATGGATTTTTCAACATTATGAACTAAGGAACAAGTTTAAAAGTTGAGGTGTTGTGACGTGAAAATCGAATGCCAAGATCTAACTTTGTTGTATTCTAACAGTGTTACAGTTTAGATCCTTAATAGCTAGGTGTTAAAAATTAGTTTGACTTCTTTTTTAAAAAAAATTACAGGAATTGGAATGAAATGCCTATGGAGACCGTCATGTTAAGTATCATTTTCTGACTGATACGCTTTTAAAAAGATTCAATTCAGAGATAGGATTCACAAACAAACCACATAAAGGAGCACTTCATGAAAGAAAGAGTGAGATCTTAAGTACAAGAACAGGATACCTTGGGTGGTTCTTGGATAAGTTTAGGATGATTGTAGATATTTGAGTACGTGGATAGAATCGACTCGCAGTCCCAAAACTCTTTTGGTTTAATTTCAAGACGATCCATCTCCTCCTCGGCTGTATTTTCCTCGGCTGTTTCAGCTCTCTGCAAGATTATTTCTTTCTCTTCCTTAGATAGACCATCAGCCTATTACAAAATCCGTAAATTCTCATTACATAACAACATAAAATCTATACAACTTTTGAAGTCTGCAAGACTGAAAAGAGAGAAGTTTTGCAGTACACAACAGATAATATTCCAACTTTACTGAGCCAAATGCCTCAAAATTAGGCTTTAAGGTCTGCCTTGATTGAGCAAAATTTCTTATTGCATCATTAAAACCTTTGAAAGTCTTAAAAATTGCTGAAAGCATCTCGAAATGACACTTCCTGGCGAAATTGCTCCTAACATGTTGAGATGAAGTATTACCTAATGACAAGAGAAGTAAAGAAATTACAAAACGCTCAATATCAAACTCAATGAAAGTCATGATAATCCTAAGTTATCGACTGGTTGTTTTGGGAGGAGCAATTTTATTTGAGATTTTAAGAAAAGTAAATTGTACAAACGAGAGATGCTGATAAAATAAAACTGTTTTCAAACCATTCAACCTCCTAATACAAACGCAGATTCTCACAGGTTGTGAATCAAAATGCTGAGTATTTCCATTTTTTGTAAATTTGATTCCAAAGATATGACTTGAAGCCGGCATTTACGGTGGATAATGTTTTTCTTCTAAAAAAGTGAGAACCACTTTTTCCTCCATTAATGAAGAAATGTTGAGAAGTTCAATGAAGGCAATTCTAACAAGCTTACTTTATGCTGATGTTTTTTTAACTCCTGGGCAGCGCCATCAAGCATGGAAGACGATGCTGGAATTTGACCTTCAATTTCTTCAGTATCAAGGGCACCAATTTCTCCATCATCGTACTCAGCGAACATCTAGAAAAGAATAATAATAATGTAGTTGGATTGAATGAAATGGCAGAGGTGCAGAAACTTCTCAAACTTCTTAGCCAAACAGTGCAAAATCTGGAAAAAAAGAGAAGACTGCTGTCATAGATGGAAAGGTTGGTTTGCATTAGAGTAAAAATCACTGCGAATTGCAAAATCATGGCAATCTGAAAATTAGGAGCACAAGAAAAATTCAATTTCCTCAATATTTGTGTGAAATGCGCCCACACCTGAATCACTAAGTACAAAAAGAGCACATGTCCAGAAAACCAAATTGTTCAGGAGACACAAAAAACTGTTTATTTTGTGGTAGATATTTTTTGGAAAGTCGTTATGTTCAAAAAAACCGGCGATCCGCTTTGCCCCGCGCCGGTTTTTTTAAACATAACGACTTTCCAAAAAATATCTACTACGAAATAAACAGTTTTTTGTGTCTCCTGAACAATTTGGTTTTCTAGACATGTGCCCTTTTTGTATTTAGTGATTCACCTACTAGAACTTATCGGTAATGTAAGGATACTATTGCCTATATTTTTTACCCTCTTTTAGTCCCGATCTTAACAAAATGTATGCAAAAAATATACTCTAAATCTTAATACACATGCACCTGAACAATTCCTTGCTTGGAACTTGGAATGATTGTTTAACTTCATCACTCCATGAAATAGAGTATGAGAGATATCCTAAATCACAGCAAACTGGAATAACTTTAAAAAAAAAAAAAAAAAAAAAAAAAAAAAAAAAAAAAAATAAATAGATACATTTATCAAATTATATAAAAATTGGAAGGGATGGAATCTACTTTAGATTAATTTTATTAATGTAGATTTTGATGTAGCTTCGACTTGATTAGTAAGCCTTTTGTTCTATGTTCAATCTCTTTCAACAATCTGTTCACCGCATGCTGTCAAGGATCCTTGAGTATTGTATTTACAATATTTTTTCCTGATTTTTGAGGGCAAATTTTGTGCTGCCAATGTCTTTTCCGAATTTTTTTGAAAAAAAATTGAACCTTCCTCCGACATTTAGAGCAAGAATATCAATTTAAGATATTTCCTGGTTAAATCTTCAGTGCTGAGTCAGAGCAGACAGCAAGTTCAGAAGCAAAACAGGATTAAAACAAAAATCTAGTAAAGTCCCTTTTTTTCAACTTGGATTCCCCGATTTTTCTGAAAATTTTTTGTTCTTGGATTGATTCTGATACATTCAGGTCTTTTCCTGTCATACGCACCACAGTTCTGCAGCCTTCAGGCACCTGTTTTGTGGATTGTTAGCTTAGAATGGTACTATCAGACAACCATTACTTCGATAATTCTTTCAAAGCATGTGAATCATAGATACCTTTTCAAACTTGTCATCCAATATGGTCAATTTTTCATTCCTACGAATGATGGAACTGGACATGGAGTAATTTGTGAATCGTGACTTGGTATCAAAATCATCATCGCTCATTGCCCCCATACTCCCCACATCATCACGTTCTTCATCATAATAATCTTCATCTTCCTCACCAATGTAATCGTCACCATCATCTAAGCCACTGAAAAAAGGAAGAAATTGATTATGCCAGAACCAAGCTAATTCTTGATTCTAAACTCCTTGTGGTTACCAGAAAAATTTCTTTCCATATGAATACAAAGAACTGGAATCTAACATTGAATTTATTCAGGCTGCTGAAACTCCTGACTTTTAAGGTGCAAATATTCTCCGAGTTTCCGGATACTTCCTTGAAAAACTTATTTCCTAGGTTTCTTGAGGTTTCCCCTTAAATTACATAAATCATCTATATTGTCTCCTTTTTAGGAGTCTTGATATTAGCGTTCGAGCTTCAGGGTAAAATTTAAGGAGCCATCTGGGCTGGCAAGGCTAATTTTTAGGAGTTATCTCCGATGCTTTAGGGGAAGAAGTTATTTTTTGCAAAAGTATCACCTATCATGAAGCATAGTAATTTCATTAGCTATACCCATAAAAGTAAGAGACAAAGTCAACTTACGGCATGTTTGCTTTGAGTACAAAATCATCTTCTAACTGATTTTCAGGATCAGAATAATCAAAATCTTCGTCCATAGCAGCAACAATATCTGGGTCTAAGTCCAAGTTTAAACCTAAAAACGGGAGAAAGAGTGGATACAATTGATTGGTCCTCAAGCATAGGGAATTTTTTGCTGAAGAGTGCATTAAAATTATAATTAATAAATTTTAGGTATACAAGTTTCAGATACAATATCATTATTACAATAAAACTTAGTAGAATTCAAACTAGAAGACAAACTATAGAATAATTACAACTCTGAAGTTCATCTTCTGCATAGTCCATTAGAAAGTTTACGATTTTATTAGTCAAAAGAGAAATATCTTACCAGATGAAGGTGGATTTCTATTGAGTAGTCCGACATCCTCTTCGAACTCAGACGCGAACATGGATGAAGGAAGCATTATCTGGGGAAAGATGAGAGTGAAAATTAAAAACTCACAGATGAGAGTGAAAAGAGGAAAAATGCATGCTGGAAAAGTACGTTGTTCAAACTCTTTAGAATGCAGTGGTTTTAAGATTGGTAAATTTGAAATTTTGAGGCCCAAAAGCAGTGTAACAGTGTCCAGTTTAAGCATGAGCCAATATTGCAGCTTATAATTTTGTTTGAAGAAGGGACACAGATTAAAATTGGTTGTAATTCTCGTGGAGAAAAAAGTGGGGATGGCAGTGTTCGAATCGTTTCAAGATGTGACCAGATTGATCAATATTTAGGGGCGTTTATTAAAGGAAATATTTAAGGTCACATTTCATTCTTCGAATTCATTACCCCATTCTCTTGAAACAATGATGACCTTTCAAGAACTATTACTGGTATAGTTACTTTAAGCTCTGTTAACTGTTTTAAAATGGACCACTGGACAAGGTCAGAAAAAAAGAAAAAGAGTCATAAGTTTTTGTATTTTTTCGAAGTCTTGCGCAGAAAACGATTCACACACTGGAAAGGTTGAAAATTTACTCTTAAACAGGATATTCGCAAATATTTTGAACTTTGATCGAATGGAAGTTAGATTATACAAATGAAATCATTTGTATTTGTGCCATTGAACCATTGATAGTTGTAAACACTTAAGTATATCCTATTTAAGAGTTGATTTCCCAACTTTTCAATGGGTAGTTAATTTTTCTCATGAAACCTTGAAGAGAAAATATGCGTAGTGCTTTAAGCCATACCTTGCCTAGAGGTCTATTGCAGGATTCAAAGAATTATATTAGTTTTTGAAGTTGTGTTGGTAAAGTGAGACAAAAAGCTACATACTTTGGGTCTGGATGAAGGTTTGATTTTGGGCTTTTCGCTTGATCCGGCTTCCAGCATTTCATCATCCTTCTCCACATTTTGTTGAACTACCGGTTCCAATTCATAGCCGCCTTGGGGCCCACCAACTGGCATCAAATGCTTCAGGTAGTCATAATCATCATCGAAGTACACGCCATACTTCCTCTGCTCTTCCTTGCGTTCCTCAGGAGTCTGAAAAGAATAGGAGACAAAATATAAACAAATTCTTGTGAGAGTGAAAAATTTAGGAAGAATGTCAAATAACAGAAGTAATAAGGCATATTTTATTTGTAATAACAAAATATTTCCGATTTTCCCTTTTTTTACTTGATTCTGAACAGCCAATGAAAGAGCAACGTTCGAAGTCTCGACTGAAAATGAGCATTTCCTAGCATTGCGTTTGAAAACAACACAAAAACAACTTTCCAGGGGCCTAGTCTCCCAAAGATGTTTACATAGGATTTGTAGGAAGAATCCTACTTGGGAACTTGAAAAAAATATTGAGTTGGTCAATATTAATCCTAGTAGCAGGTACAGTCCTTGTATTCTTTGTAGAGATATTTAAGATCAACAAGAGAGGAAGAAGAATTGAGAGCAAATTGTGTAATATTCTTTTATTTACTTGATTGTTAGTGTTTGATCAATTGAAATAATTTGTCTGAGTGTTAATTGTGTTCAATTATTATCTTAGTCACAGTTAAATACTCGACTTTTACTGATTTATCTTACCACACAAACTCGTCACAGGAATGTGAGAGCTCCGTCCCTTGAAGACCGTAACTGGGAGAAATCCCAGAAGTTTCATTCCTGCAATTCAAACTTGGGACGAATCCCTTGAAAACGTCCCATGGAGACAAGGCCCAGAGAGGTGCAAAACTTTAGGTAAAATTTGCTCAGGAATATGCATGAAATGGAACGGCTTTAAATCGTCAGGCACTATCAATAGACCTTGAATAATTTATTAGGAATACTGAGAGGAGTGGATTTTTGGTTTCTTACTAGATGCTTTTTCTTAGGATCTTCAAGAGGCTTAAGAACATGCTGGGGAGCCGTTTCATCCACATACAACGGATCCCTCTGACTCCTGTGTACAAGCGCAAAGGTTACGGAATCCTTTCCAAACTTCTTCTTTTTCTTTGATGGCTGTGAAAAAATGAGAAAAATTAAAATTAAATTAAGTAGATGAGAAAGCTACATTACACCTCTAGTAGACCCTGAAAGACAAATAGATCTCCATTCAAAGAGGACAAAAATGGGTGCTGTTGGTAACAATATTTTTAGCAGGCGGGAGAAACAGCGTTTCCTGATTGAATAAATTCAGCTTCAGGCAGTGCCTGGGTACGACTCAACTCTTGGCTTTGGATTAGCTCATCATCCCCTTAAAAGTGATTTTTTGAACTTTTGAATGGACTGCACGGTTTTTTGGGGTTTTAATTCATCAAGAGCGCGAATTGTCCGTGCAATACATTGGGCATATCCAAAGTTCATCAATACCAGTCACTCGGAAAGGCTGATTCAGAGTGCAAGCTCACAATAAACTGTAAGAAAATAGTGTTGGTAGATACAATTAAATATTTGACTTGTTCAGTTAACTATGTGCCTACAAGCAGCTTGGTTGACTTGGTGTATTCAAGTAACGCGTTGGTTGGCATCAACAATAGTTAGTGACAAGTTCGCCTCTATGTTGCGGCAAAGCCCAAACTTAGTGCATGAACATGAGCCTTCAATTCCACACAAAAAGAGGCTTTGCTTAGGAAACAAGACATGTGAAAATGAATTTAGCAAAGGTGATAGTGTTTGTAGAATGTTACTATTTTGAGATCCTTACCATTTTGTTTAAATAACAATATGTAGAATACAAAGGAGGGTTGATACTGGCCAAACCAACGAGGCGATTTTTCCCCCTATTTCTGATGGAGAACCACGGCACCAGCTAAGCAAGTTGAACGGAAAAGGTATCGAGAATTGTCTTCACGTGAATATAACGAGCGTTTCGTAAAACTTATGCGAGGAAAAATGAAAAATGTCCCACACGGGCACGACACGACACATGTAGCTGCAATTTTGCAAGGTTAGTTTAATGTTTGGTTGGTTCAAACCAGTGTTGTAGCAAACGTAGCAGAAAAATACACTTGTAATGAAGTATCATACCATGGTTATTTTCAATTCAAGTAGCATTTTAAATCGTAAATTTTTTAAAATATCCGAAAAATGTTTAATTAACTGTTAAAACTTACATAAAAGTACATTGTTGAATTTATAAGATGTTGGTGATATCCGGTGACTCTTGAAATCATATTGGTATGGTGTAGGCAGTTCTTCGCACCAGTCATCATCATTTTTGACTTTTTGTTGACAAAAAATTTTGCAGATTTTTCCTTTCGAAAGAGGTGTTTGACGTCGGAATAGCAAGTTTTTCAGTGTTTTTAATCCAGCATATAGACTCGGAATATCACACTTTCGGGAAGTTACTGCTATAGTGCCATTTATAGAGTCGCACAATCCGCAATCACCATTCTCTCACAGCAGCTCAATGGCTGGCAATTTTTGGCAAAGTTCTCATTTGTAAGTTTTCCACTTCTCTCATTTTTCGATTTACCGCACACAATAATATTCATTTTTCCCTATTCGCTCTGCTCTCCTCTTTCTATGCTTACATTTTCAATAGCATCTGTGGCGCTCAAATCCAGGGACAAGACAGTATGCCGCGTCTGTATCACAACTATGCCGCTCCACTTCCACATTTTGTTCATGAGCTCTTTTACATAACTATCCACTAGGCCATATTGATTAGAGGTTTCTGTTCAGGAGGACTTTTCAATGATGGATGCACATTGCAAGATAATATAGCTTCTAACAAAGCAAACTCGCGAGCACGAAAATTATCATTACGAAGGTACCTTTTCTGGCTGCCCAAACCAACAAAGATGTTCTGATTTCAGCACACATGAGTATTCCTCATGAATCCGCTTGAAGATGTAGTTATCATTGAAAATTTCTAGGTTTTTCAAGCTTAGAAGCCTTATTCAGTACTGTGCAATTACAGCGGACTACTTGTCAAGGTCTGAACTGGGTTGAAACATCACCGATTCTCTTCAAGATCTTCTGTAGATAACGCTTCACATATAAGGAGCTCAGAAATCAACTCTTGAACAGGATGTTAACAAAAATATTTTATTTAGAGTAATGGAAGTTAGATTGCATAAATAACCACATCTGCTTTTTTCCATCGAAGAGTTGATTCCTACACTTGATTTGTTTTTCTCGGGAGAATTTCAATGAGACAGTGTGTTGCTCTGTGGTCTAATACCTTGTGTAGAGGTTTATTATTTTTATCACACATGAGCGAAAGAACCATGTACAGAAAACTTAAAATTGTAAGGTAAAATTCGTTGATTCACTTTTTCTTTCCTGATTTCCCTTTCAGCATTCAGTATTTTAAAAGGCTCACAGATAATCTAACACAGCAACTGATCAGCCATCCTGAGATTTGTTGTATTGTTGTAACGAGATGCATCCATCAATAAATATCGACAATCTGTTTTAAGTATGTGTGATATGCTTGGAGGCTCATATAAGCTCACACAAGGATTCTTATATTATTTATTTCCAATTTACAGCCAACAATGGATTCTGGACAAACAGGACTTGATTCGAGAGCGGCAACATGATTTGGCCATTTTAGCGGAGGAAGAATATCAGAAGATCCTGATTTTTTTCTCTAATTGTAAGTCAGAATGCAGTAATATGTATCATATCAAATATTGATGGACCAAAGGATTTGGGACCATCTCATTCGACCAAATAAAAACTCGATCTAAACCAATAAAAAACGGGTAGTTCTCTCTAACGCAATCAAGATTAGCTTTGTAACTGCTTTAGCTCAAACTTTACAGCAATTTTTCAGTTCTATTGGTTTTGGTTTTTATTTGTTAGTTTTATTGTTTTATTTGTAATTCTGATTAGGAAAAACTTCAAAACTCAGAAGTAAGTAAGTTATTCATGAAGTTAATAGATATCTGGTATCAGTGTGAAACTATCATGCAGGGGTACTTCTTGACTACCAGTTCGTGACTGGTCGTTTCTGAAAATGTGAAGGTCTGGAAAACAAAAAAGTTGAAAAAAGAGGTCATGAAAATGGAAAGGCTGGCTCTCATCATCATGAAAAGCATGTAATTTCCTCTCAAGAGAAATGTGGAAATGAAATGCCAAAAAAATAAAATGTCACCTCTTGAAAATCTTAGATAATACACCTATATAAATGAATAAGGGGTTCTTAAGAAAGGCCAACTTGAAAATGGGAAGGCTCAGAACGTTCTGCGCCCTTGCCACAATAAAACTTCATCTCTATTCTTTGTTGATGACAGAAGTGCTACTTGTATCACATCAAGAGACTGTATTATGAAATCATCTTTAAATTGATTGCTTTTTTCCCCCTAATAGTTATTCAAAGCTTGGGAGAGAGTTTGAAGTTACGACAACAAGTTATCGCAACAGCCACTGTTTATTTCAAACGATTCTACGCTCGCAACTCTTTGAAATGTGTGGATCCACTTCTCCTGTCTCCGACGTGCATTTTCTTGGCATCCAAAGTTGAAGAGTTTGGAGTCATTTCCAATAACAGGCTCGTCCAGACTTGTCAAGCTATAGGTAAATATTGAGTCCCAGCTGCAAAATGTTAAATTACAAGCACCAATAGTGTCAGTCAAAAGATCACGCTTTGATGGAACTCTAGATTAGTAAATTATAATAAATCTGTCTAAAGGCCAATGTTCGGCATACAATATTCACGAAGATATGACTTTTCTAACTTTACCAACTCGGTGATTGACATGGAAAACCGTGGCATTGGGTACCACCCTGGTTGCATCCATTTGTGAAACATAAATCTATACGACTTGCTCAAAACACTACTGCAAAGTGTGCTGTAAGATATCAATCACTGCATTTTTCGGAAGAACCTATCTCTGTCAATATCAGACAACAAAATTTAGTCTTTGCGTAGGGTCCTTCTTTTTCTTGTATCCATGGCTTTTAACTATCTAATTACTAATTCATGACTTCCTTAACTCATCCATCGAGTTTCAACGAACATTTACCTTATTATTATTGATGAATAAAACTGCATTGAAAAATAACTTGAATAATGGTTTATAATTGCAGAAACATTAACTTCATAACACTGGCAGTAAGGACCTCACAAAGTTACTTGAATGCCAGCAAAATTTTACATAATCTTGAGGAATGCTTTGATCCTATATAAATAAATCTGGAAAACTTTTCAGGCTGGGGTAAAGTTACTCACTACAATGAGCATAAAATTTAAATATCAAGGAATAGAGCACCAATACTCCTGGTATCTTGCTAACTTTTTGTGGCATTGGTGTATCCAGATGACCTTTCATCTTCTGAGTTTATCCTCAAAATTTTAGCTTTACCTCCAGAATTCTAGCCAGATCATACCCACAACAATACGAAAATTTGTACACTCACATGGCATTTAAAATTTTGATGAAACATTATTACCGTATTAAGTTGTCAAATAATTCCACAATTTTCCCTTTGTTCTCAGTGAAAAACAAATTTAGCTATGCCTATGCGCAAGAGTTTCCGTACAGATTTGCCCAGATCTCGGAGTGCGAGTTCTATTTGCTGGAGAATTTGGATTGCTGCCTAATTGTTTATCAGCCGTATCGGCCTTTGTTGCTGCTCCTCCAAGACATCGGGCAAGAAGAGCAGCAGTTGCTAGGATTAGCATGGAGAATAGTCAATGACAGCCTGCGAACTGATGTCTGTCTCCTCTATCCACCCTACCTAATTGCTATTAGTAAGTTCAGTTTTTTCCAAACTTAAATGAGACAAATATCTCCAAATCCATGTTAAGCTTTCAGAAAACTTGGAAATATCTCAATGAATGCGACATTTGTCACAGGTCAAGTTTAAATATTTGCAAATGCAATCGAGTATCAGATTGACATACAGATTATCAGATGATTATCTATGATATTGATTATTATTGATCAAATGAGCCGTGTATAGCTCTCTAAGTGTTCAGAATAACTTTCTTCCCTATCATCATTTGTTTGTTTGTTGTTCCCCTCTTCTTCTCTCTTTTTTTTTTTCTCGCTCTCCCTTTATTTCTTCAATTGATCAAATGCTAACTTCACTTGCATACTTACACGTAATACCAAGTGAAATAGATAATGCCTTCATTATTTAGGAGTATCAGAGAAAATATAAATATGTACACAGCTAGAAGGGAGAATAAACAAAACTATCTCAGGGAAGAATAAAAATCATGAAGAGGCGCTGGGAATCAAACACCGGATCTATTAGTTAGTGCCTAGCACTCTTGCACTGTGTCCTTATTGCAGCACTAAAATTATCTGTGCATCAGTTTGCCATACCAGTATGTAGCCCTTTTCGCTGGTTTTTGGACAGTGTTTTTGGCTCTTCCAGGATCCATTTGCGAAAATGGCCCATTAGGGATCCAATAATTTATTCTGAAGAAACGGTTGGCCAAACTCTGATCAAAATCTAGGTGGGACAAAGTCTGGCCTCTCTTATCAGTTAAATCCATATCACTGACTGCTTTCTATTTTTTTGCAGGTTGTCTACAAATAGCCTGTGTTGTTCTGCAGAAAGATCTTAAAGGTTGGTTTGCGGAGCTGAACGTAGACTTTGAGAAAGTCCAAGAAATTTCTAGGTATATCATCGCCCTTTTTGAACTGTGGAAATCGTACAACGAGAAAGACGAAATTAAAACCCTATTGAACAAAATGCCGAAACCAAAAGTCCAGCAACCGAGATAGCTTTAGGCCAGTGCTGCACACTTCTCACAGCAAATGGAGACGGACGGTAAACTCAGCAATGTTAATGAATGGTTAATTGTGGTAAACTCACATCCAAGGAAAAATTTCCTCTCTCCGAAGCTACTACTTGAAACACGCAAAGTCCGCTCCTGCAAATGGACTGTTTTGCTTGTCAGTGCTCCGCAGTGGATCCACTAAGAATCAAGGAGATCTCTGTATGCAACTCAGTAACACAATGTCTTTGAAACAAAGTCTCTGAATTCTTCTTCAAAGATTCTCTTTCCTTTGTCTTTTTAAGTATCTGTAGGTTGACCCTACTCCCAAAAATACGGATTGGATTCCGAATTAATTTCATTGTGCAGATTATGTTTTCATAAAACTTTTTTTAAGAATTTAAGTTTAGTAAAAGGTCAAATCGATGATCAATACTCACAGAAGATAAGTAAATCAATGTAAAATTTTGGACTTGGAAGTATGTAGAGCTAAAAGATTTCATTAAATTTATTCCTGTAAAATCCAAAGAAATCTCATGAATTTTTAGAAATTTACTTCCAGTTTTGAATCATTATCCAGCAAGTAAGCAAAATGCATACTTATAAACCCTCTAAAGTTTCCTTGGATTAATCTAGTCCTAGTTGTTGATAGTAAATTCAATGAAAGAAAGATACATTCGTTTAATATCAATGAGCCAGTTGCACAATTTTTTCAATTGCTTGTTTGAAAAAAAAAAAAGGCTCCTAATGCTACAGGGATTTCCCTGGAATTTTTTTATCACCAAAAACCCTCAAAAAATCAACTTGACCCTCTATCGCATGATTTAATTTTAGGTCACTGATTGCGGGGAAAAAGTTCGTGTTGTAGTTAATAGAATTTCTGGAGGTCAATTAGGAGGATCACTGAAAATTTTAACCTCTACTTTCTTAAAAAGGGTGGAAAAGAGGTTGCATTCCAGATGTAACATAATGCAGTTACGCCGTATTCGTATTTCGACCTTTTCCCTTTGGTCAACATTAGGCAAGCAATTTTCTCAGAATAATAAGCTGTGAAGAAAAAATGCCCTGAATTTTCCCCAGGAACATTCTCCTGAGATAATTTGAATGTTCTTAGACACGAGGCAATGTACAATTCATTCTTATTGTTATAATTTTGAGCACTTAAAGTGAGGTTCCTAGAAATTCTTCAATATTTTTCTGAAGAGGTTTTCATAACAGAAAGTTCAAAGTTCCCTAGATTTTGTATTATGAAATGTTTAGGTTTTGTACTAATGACGTTGAAGTGTTTTATGTGCATTTCCTTTTGCATAAGCTTTTTTCTCTGGTGAGGAATTTTAGTCGTTGACTATATAAAGTGTTTGCTTACAATAAGTGCTCATCTGCGTTCCTTCTGCAATTGGGCAGAAAGTGATCTCAAGAATCAGGCACATCTGCATATTAACAATTCAAAACTTAATTTCTATTAAACCCATGTTGCCACCTTTTCAAATTAGATACTTCAAGTATATAAAGTTAATTTTTATGTTTCGTTTGTTTACGGTCTTCATCTTCTTAGTTTTTTATTTTGTGATTTTATCATCGTTTTAAAGTATGTATTTGACTGTGTACTGAGTTAGTGATTTTAACACTACCAAGAAGTTGGCGGTTTTACCAAGTATGGTGGGGGTGGCAGTATTAAATCCACCTTTTCCTGGCATTTTCACGGCTCACACTATCTTTTTAATAGTAACCCCCCCTCCTTCCACCTCGTGCTTCTCTCTGGCAGATTTAACAGTTGGAAGTTAAAAATGGCTACTGGAATTAAAGTGTTTTTATTATGTTAACAGTTTGCAGCTAATTTTACTTTAGTAACTCTGAAAACCAACAAATATTTATGTTACATACTGTAAGGTATAGTAGAAAGTGTTGAACCTCTTTAAGGTATTCTAATGAATGATCTGTTTTGATGCATTTCATCTTCATAAAGCATTTTGATTTGTAAAAGCAGTTTTTAGCCTTGTCGGAAAAGTATGTTGTTATTAAATCAGCATGTGAAAGACAGTGCTAGTTTTCATCCTTCTTGATTTTGACCTTTTTTGCCTCTGAGAATCTTAGATAGAGATCTTCTTTGGGTAGTTGATAAATGACAAGCATACTTTCTTTTTGTTTTTTACTTTTGAACATTATTATGCACAACAATAACCAACCTTCAAATCACATGAAAACATTTGACATCTTAATCGAAGACACAAAGAAAAAGTATTAGTAGCTAAAAATGAAACCATGCTTCCCAATTTTTGAGGATATTGTAGTAAAAATATCTATGAATCTTCGACTTGGTCTTTGAGAGGAATAAAGAATTAAACTTTGAGTGCATATAACTTCGTATATTTTCTTTGAATGCTTCCACCATACTTTTAAGTAAGTTTTAATACATGAATTCACATAGAAACATATCAGTATCATTACATAGTCTTCTTTTATTCAGTATACACTTAAACCTTTGAATTTGTCCACAAATTATTTGAGAGAGTGTGTAGTTGAACATTCCTTTAATCTCATACAAATACAAGTTTGGCACTGAATTTCATGAAAATTACCACTTATTAGACAAACAGAAAATTTTCTTCTACAAGTCATTTATCTAATTACATAGATGTTGACAAGTATGCACTAGAAAAGAATAAGAGCCTTACTTTGAAGATACAAAACCATCTAAATTAGCATGACTTTAAAATTTTAGAAGGAACTTATTGCAACAAAAGGATGAAACTAGACGATGAGATAAATTTGATACAACTTCCGAGAAAGAATTTGAAATTGAGAAAGATGACCGCGGCAGTAATAGATGCTGGGTCTTTAGAAATAATAACTTTGGTGAGGAAAATCTTGAAAAACTTCATATAGATGGATAGTGTCAAAATGTTTACTCTTTTTATACAAATCTGGCTTACTTAAGTTAAAAAGTTAAGTTTTTGATGAATTTCAGTGAAACTCGATACTGTGCTCCCATATTTTTGATAATGGCCATGTAATATACTTCAATGATGTTAAAGAATATTATTTCAGGCAAACATATTAATAAAAAGCAAGCAGACAATGCATAATAGTCCTGATAAAATTTGATAGCAGCTGGCATAAATGAAAACCAGATAGCTCGGAGATTACATCATAATAATACTTTATTTGAGTCAAGGGCTTCATTCAAATTTCCCAACAAAACCAAAAAATATAGTCTTTGTTCCAAGGCAATATATTGGCAAGAGGTAAAAAAATAGTTTATCTCCTAGTTGTAATTGATATAAAAGCTTATGACTAAAAGATCAACTTGAGACTGATCATTAATAGTATTTAGGTGAATCAGAAACAGATAAAATTGAAAAAAATCATGATCCAGTAGAAACTTAAGAATCGACACTAATTTTGGTCCCAGTCTGTGAACAAATGGATCGAGATGGTAGAACAATCAAAATATGCATAGAGCTGGAATTGTTCAACCAAAGTATACTTACAAGTAAACTTGCGAACAAGATTGATGAGATGGCTCAGCTACTGTTGATCGAAAGAAGAAACGTATACTTATATTGAAGTTTAAAAAATAAAAACCACTCAAGGTATTTCCCTCAACCCTTGACAGAGATAGCAATGACTACTTTTCCACAATAACAAATTAAAAACTAAAAACCCCGCGGGCTGATTATTAAAATTGATAGACAAAGGAAAAATGGAGCAATCCTAGAGGTTGAAACAACAGGTTATTATAAATTCAGGTGGAAAATGACAAAATGACTAAAAGATCTTTAGCAGGTTGTTGTTAGTTAGTCTAATACTTACGTCATATGTCTATTGGAGCCATCCGCTTCCACTAATACAATCGCTCCATTTTCTCTTTGCCTATGACTTTGCCAATCAATTTCAATAATCAACCGGCTATGGTGTGATTAAATATCTTAAAAAAAATTTCCAACAGCAAGAAATAAAAATAAAATGATGAATATAAGAAAACGCCGTGAGAAGTTGAGCATGTGCTGGGGCTTGATTCACCAAACTTTTTCGAGCTCTGGAATTAAATCCTGAAACGAACAAGAATTGACATTGCAATGATTAAATCAATTAATTTAATGAAATTAAAAGCAATAAAGTTAAAAGGAGTGATTTGACATTACTACTGTGGAATTAGATCCCGAGAGTCGGCACAATCAAGACTGAAGAAATGATAAAGACTGAGGCCCCTTGGATCCCCCTTTGGTGTCAGCATAGTCGTATTTTGTTCGGAGGCAACACTTGCAACATGTTGTGAAAACAAGCAACAATCGCATTTTGTTCAAGTTGTTTTGTGTTGTGGGGGCAGGGCTTATTTTTGCACGCACAACTTGGGAACCACTGAAGCAACATTGCTGTGCAACAACTGCAACGTGCTCAGAGCAAGTCATTTTTATGTTGTTGCCCAAGACGACGCTGTTTTCTAACCTAAAATTCGAATTTTCTCTCGCATTGGTCATTCAGAATCACGTAAAAGAAACAAGAAAAAGAACAGAAACAATTTGTTTCACACAAAACACGACTCATTATTAGCTTGTTAAATTGACTAGCATTGTGGTCATTTGTTTAAATAATATTTAAAGAGAGACATACCAAGGGGTTCTTATTTGCAGCATGCCTTGCAACTGGTTGTCCGTTTTTATCGATGATAAATTTGGTGAAATTCCACTTGATGGCACTAGAAAAAATGTGAAACAAATAATTAACTGAATAATCAACAGAATAACAAGAGAAGTGGTGAAATTTGAAATCTTTAAAAATTAGCTGCAAGAATCTAATGAAAAAGGTGTGAATTGCAATAATGGTTCATTAAATTGGAGCGATCATTTCGAAAAAGAGCCATCGTCTTCAAAATTCTGCTTGGCTGGAGGAGGCTCTTCACTGTAATATGGAACTTGATGGCACACCATAAATTCATACAAGATGTCTTAATACATTCACTTTCTAAGAGAAAATTCAACATGCTGCATTTTTTAGATTTATAATAATCATATACTTAATTTATTGTGCTCCGTACTGGATGGCTTGACAAACAGGGCTATGAATTGGTTACCTACTTCCTCTTCTTTCAATAAAAAAAAACTTTAAAAAGCTGGTACTAAGGTATTTTAATACACCCAAAGGACTGAATTATCTCAGCAAAGCTGAAAAAGAGATTATATAATGATCAAATAAAAGATTCAATTGTAGCTTTATTGCAGGTAAGATGAACTGATGAAATGATTCGAACTAATGGCGTTAATAATTTTTCTTGGACAAAAAAAACCACACCCTTAAAACTGCTTTTTATTACCTTTACAGTTTGACAAGGTTCTGGAAATTACACTTTCTCCAGTAATTACTCAAATAATACAATAACGCAAGACCTTAAATTTATAAAAATTCATAGTGCCAGGACTGAGACTCCTAAAAAATACTTACTCAATCAATAATCCTCCTTGCTTATGCTTCAAGTACTTGAACAGAGGATGGGCATTATTTCCATTGACATCTATTTTGGCAAATATATCAAAGTTGGGACTGTACTTTTTGATGCTGCACGAAATTTCTTCATTGCTTCCTGGCTCCTGCAACAACAAAAGGTGGTATTAGAACTTAATCTGAACTGCAGCATTAACATGACCACCTACATAATGTTCATCTCATAAAGGAAGCTTTCAATCTAAGCTTCCAATTATGAAAGTTGTATGAGACCCAAGACACCAGACAGTGGATTAATAGAAGATAAAAGGAAGTTTTTTAAGAAATTCAATGTGAGACTTGTTATGAGCTGAAATAGTCACTTTTGCTCTCAAGCTACATGACATCACTTCAGCGAGGCATAGTCTATGAATAAAAAAAATTGAAAGGTAGAAGCTTTCATGATGAGCTATCAAAAAGTTTTTGAGATGAAGCGTCGCAGTCCGTTTTTCTAATACACTCTCTGAAAATACTGAAGAAATAAGGAGACATGTAATTCACCGTTTTTTATTCAATTGAGTTTTAACTCAGAAAATAACTTTCATAGTCACTGAAAATCTGACCTCATTTCGAATGGCCAACCGTTTCCGTGACTTCAGTTGAAGAACTGGCCTTCTCACTTTTTCCACCACAGCTGTTTCAGTTCTGGAATATTCAGTATTTCGATGTTATGTTTTCCCATTAGTAATGATTTCCTTCACTTTTTCCTTCTCTTCCACGTTTAGACATTGATACAAGACTTCATGCAACATTTTTATGAGCACAAAAGTTTGATGGTCGTTTAGTTGTGTCATTTACATTTGATACGTGGTGGTTGAAATCATGGGTTGGCACCTCATGTGACAACAAAAGAGGCGAGTAAACGAGGAACTTTCACTTCCTGAGTTTAGCTTTTTGTTTTCTTGCTTTTGGAAGCTTCTGGAACTTTTTAAACTCAGAAACACAGATTCTGATGAATTTTACCTAGGGGAACATCTGTTATTCAATCAAATTTCAGCATCATGCAACAGTTCCACTATCCCATCATGGCTTGAAAAAAGATTAAAGGGGGATGATTTTGGGTATCTGAGAAAGCAGGTACCCAGTTAGTATTTGGTCCAAAAGTAACAGAACTTTCATTCTGAGTGATCCTCGTAATTCATCACAGAGAAATGCAAACATGTATTCTTCTGATGAGTGTTTTGGAAACACTGATAAACCCAAAAACTGTTCCATTAGAGGAATGTTTCTCTTTCTTTAATGTTCAAGATCAACTCAGCATGACTGAATTTAAGGCCATGGTGGAGAAATTCTTCAATCACGCTACATGTGTTAAATGGAATTAAAAGATATTTTAAAAGTTTGAGAGGAAAGAAACAAAAAGAAAGAAATGAATACTAAGTAATCTTACTTGACCACCGAACTGATTACAGGGAAAAGCTAGAATACGCAAGCCTTTGCTTTCACGATATTTTTCATCAAGTTCTGCTAATTCCTTGTAATGGGTGCCAGTGTAGCCACACTGAGATGCAACATTGACGATTAACAATGGATGGCCTCTGATGGCAAAAAAAGAAACAAAGGACCTTATTAATTTTCTATTTAAACTCTAGCACATAAAATGTTGCCTTGCCAGTGACTTTTTAGCAAACGTTTCACGCTTAACTCCCTCTTTTCCTCATCTTCAAAAATCCTCTGTCACTCTAATTATTCTTGCAAAAATAAAGTTTTCAACGATCACAACTGCAACAAAATTTTGTTGACCATTAAAATGATAAAATAGATTTCACTGAAGGATGTCAGCTCTCTGAGGGATAAACTTTCTAAATATTTACTCAATAACAGAAAAATGTTACTTTTCTAGTGCTTCTTTAGGAATTTCTCACCTTATTTTTTTCAATGTTCCTGGAACATTTCCCTTCATTGTGCTATTATTACAGTTCAGATGATAGAAAAGTTTATAACATCTCTTACTAAAATAGAAAAGGTGCAAGATGACAAGCCCGGTATTCATTTGTTGAAGGTGAGAGTAGAAAAAATGTTATCTTTGTTAGATATGTGCTATAGGGACAAAAAAATAAACTCAGCTGTTCGATCCCGATCGAACAAACTTAGAGCAATTTTAGGAAATTTCATCATACTCATTTTTTACCCCCCCCCCCCTCACTCTTGAGGGTCCTCTCAACTAATTAATTATTCCAAATTTGCACACCTTGACCCGCCTCCCCGATTAGTGCGTCTTTAAAGGTGTCCTTTACCTTCTATTAAATTGAAAGTGCTCTTCCTAACCATTG